GATTTAAGTCTAAGTGCTTTTGAATCTGCTTTAAGTCTGCGAAGCGAGACAGCACAGAGATGGTGGTGGCCAGAGCTCAGACCATGCCACAGCCCCATTGCTTCACTGGCCAAGAGTATTGTGTTAAGGGAAAGTTCAGGACCCACTTCAGATATCGTGTGGACTGATGGATATAAGCAGTCCACACTCCTTCCCAAGCTTCAGCATAAGGGAGTGCATCTCTCATCCCAGAGAAGTACTATGAAATCCACAGCTAAAAGGAGCATAAATCTCTTAAATCACCAGCTGTGCTCATTCAGCAGGGAAAGACAGAGCACATAAATCTTCACAGGCTCACTTTCCGTAGGAAGGATGGGCAGGGACTTCTTTTCTGGTGGCATTTCCAGTGCCTTTAATCAGACATGTCATTTGGATTAGGCTAAAGGGCTGGTTTAGTGTCTCTGTTTTGGCAGCTGGCTCACCCCCTTGCTCAGGCTAATCCCAGCGTCACACAGAGACCAGACCTCCAGAGCTTATTTGGAGGACAGGATGACCAGCGTAGGGGAGGTCAGTCGGTGGTTGGGTAAGCTTACACGGGTCCAAGGAGCGCTGGGTTCAGTCCTAAGACTTTCCACTGCTCTCATTAAGGAAGTCCATATATATCCCTTGTGAGCCAAAGGTCACTTAGGGTTGCCATTCTGAACGGCCACATCAGGCATTTCAGGGCAAAGCAGTGATGAAATCAGGTGTATCTACAGTGTTGGTTAAGCTTGGGACCAAGCCCAGTGCTGAGATGAAACAACTCCACTGTAAACTCTGCAAGCCTATAATAACAATAATAACAATTGCCCTATCGTGAGCTCTATTGCTGCCTGGAGAAGGCAGGCACTAGCACTATCATGGCCCCAGGCTCATTCTCTCAATGGCTTTGACCTACCTTGGTACGGGCAAAGTTGAGCCTGTCGGCAGGCTTGTCCCAAACCCAGTTCTTCCCGGTCATAGCAGAGGCTTTGTACAGGCAGCAGGAGGGACAGAAACGTACAGGTCTGGGAGATCAGACCTGTTCTTCATCTCAATGCATGGACGTGGCTGCAGAAGTCAACAGACAAGTTACTAGAGAGATTGCTTCCTTTTCCTTCTTCCATCCATGATGCTCTGCCCATAATCAGATGCAAGCTATGTTTTTCACACAGTGAAATATGCATTTAACTTTCTTTAGCTGATGTTCAGCAGAGGCAACAAGGGCTCCCCAGCACCCCTGTTGCTGCTCCATCAATTCACCGCTGCAGCTTTGGTGACGGAACAGCCCAAAACCTTGCAGCCATGATATGGCAAGCAGGAGAGTTTCCCAGGTCAGGAGCATTTGTAAGGGGCTAAGCAAACACCACAGGCAATCGAACCTGTAGACTTTCAAATTGGATCAGCACGAACTTC